CAGGGGAGGAGGGGGTCAGGGGAGGAGGGTCAGGGGAGGAGGGGTCAGGGAGGAGGTCAGGAGGAGGGGTCAGGGAGGAGGAGGTCAGGAGGAGGAGGAGGTCAGGGAGGAGGAGGGGAGGAGGTCAGGAGGAGGTCAGGAGGAGGAGGAGGGGGGTCAGGAGGAGGGGTCAGGGAGGAGGGAGGGGAGGAGGGTCAGGGGAGGAGGGTCAGGAGGAGGGGGTCAGAGAGGAGGGGTCAGGAGAGGGTCAGGGGAGGAGGAGGGTCAGGGGAGGAGGAGGGGGACTTTCAGGGAGGAGGATGAGAAGGAGGATGGGGGGTCGAGAAGGACACACTAAGTTGGATAGATAAGGATAGTAAATAGGGGGATCTCTCTCTCTCTCTCTCTCTCTCCTCCACGTAGACAGTGATAGAGGGATGAGATGAGGATAGAGACTCTAGCCTGGGATAGACGAGTCAAGGATGTATAGGATATAGGATAGGTATAATGACGGTGGGTGCTGCTGGGTGGATGGGTGGTGCTAGGTGAGTGGTGTTTGGGTGGATGGTGAGTGGTGTTGGGTGGAGATGTGGTGTTGGGTGGATGAGTGGTGTTGGGTGGATGAGTGGTGTTGGGTGGGTGGGTGGTGTTGGGTGGGTAGTGTTGGGTGGGTGGTGATAACCGGGTGGTGCTGGCCGGGTGGTCGTCCAGCTCGGTAGTTAACTAACTCATAAAACGCTCATGAGACTCAACACAGCGTAGTTATTCTGGCTCTGTGTGTGTGTGTGTGTGTGTGTGTGTGTGTGTGTGTGCGCGCGCGAGGGGACATAACTACAAGCTCACCAAGCTATCATGCAGAACGAACTTAAGAAAATACTTAACACGGAGGCTGGTAGACCCAAGGAATGGTCTAACAGCCAACACTGTGGAATCAAGAACAGTACCGGGCGTCAAAACAGTCCGTGGCAGAATTATCAAGAACAATGGAGGGATCACGGACCACTGGCCTCAGCATTACGTATATACATTATGTAGTGGTAAAATGGGAGTGTAATTCTGAAGAGAGATAAAGGGTAAAAGGGTGAGGGGAGAACCAAGGAGGTGGTGATGGAAAGATGGGGTGAAGGATGCACTATAAGTGAGAGGGACTGACATCCACGGAGCAGCGACATGATCGAATAACCGGAGATGATGGTGTGGTGTGGTGTGGTGTGGTGTGGTGTGGTGTGGTGGGGTGTGGTGCCTGGGACGGACGTGCTGCTGATGGTTGATGGCGTGTGAAGCAACAGAGACAAAACAGATGTTTGGTGTCGTGTTGTGAAAACCACAGCAACACTGATGGCAGTGAAAAGGAATGATTAAGCATCCTGCACTGTGGTGATTATGGCCAACAAGAGTGAGGAAAACTATTATTATTATTATTATTATTATTATTATTATTATTATTATTAATATTATTATTATATAAACGCGACCCAAAAATGATAAACCTATAATTTAATGTAAAGATATCAGCCGGCTGCTAATGCCAAATGACCGGATACAGAGGATGGTGCCTGGTGCCGAATATGGTAGTTTTTCCCCAGTAGCTGCTGCTGTTGGCCGGCTATACGCTCTCTGGTTTACACTTTGTGGTCTGGCTAGCCAGTTAAATGTTTTTTGGGGGAGGTGGGAAGAAGGATTTGAGTTCATACTGTGACTTCTACTTTTTAGTGGTTCAACTACTACGGGTTATTAAGCACCATACACTAAGGTTCACTGTCTACAACAAACAACATTTAAAATTATCTGATATTTGGGACTGTGAATAAACTGACCTACTGGACGACATACACTAATAGCAACACCATTAGATATGCTTGACACAGCTCACCGCTAAGAACTGACTGATTCATAAAACCTTTCTCAAAATTTAACAGAAAAATGCAAACGGCATCAAGCGTCCCACACCACCAGGGTGCCAGATGACGTCACACGAGTTCTCGGCGGGGTAGAAGGCATTTATAATATTCACCCACCATCCCTCATCACCTCCACCGGGAAATAACTTTTATAAATGACAGGTTTGATGTCTAGTATTAATTAAATATATATTCAGGTTACAAAAAATATCGTAAAACATGGAAGCAATTACTCATCTTGTTAATTGAAAACATTAACTCACATATATCGTGTGAGAATTTACCAGGAAAAAAACCTCAGCCTCGCAATTAAAATAAATCATATTTTATAATCCCAATCCCCAAATAATATATAAAATTACCCTAATCAAGTATATCATCTAAATAAAGACTTCATTATATTCTTCTTGATATAAAACTTAAATAAATGTCATGTCAACCTCCCGAGTTATTGTGGTCAATCTTAATCTATTCCTTAAGGTAATTATTTGGTTTAATTAAATTCCCACGTGATATTTTTTTACGCCGTGTAATACAGTACCTAAAGTGACGTACCTTTACCTGCCGTGTTAATGACTAAATTATCGACTAATACCTCTGATGACGTCATGCCCCACGAATATACTGTAGTCTCTCTTAATTTTCGTCTAGTGTCTCTTTTTAAGTTGTCTCTCTGTCCAAATCTCTATCTCCCGCTCCTAATCTTACTACTATCTCTTGGCCATAATCTCTCTCTCTCTCTCTCTCTCTCTCTCTCTCTCTCTTTAAGCTGTCTCTCGGTGTTCACTGCCAGGGTAGGACAGAGACCCCTAGCGGCCCTCCACTGAGTGTCACCTCCAATTAAGGAAGCTCACCAGGTGTTGCCGGGGTGTCGTGTGGATCTTACCTGCCCAAAATTTACTCTACTTACCTCTTGTATAGAAAGTGTTTTTATTTATTTATTTTTCTCTCTATTACAGTATTTTAGAAGGAGGAGAAAAGAGGGAGGAAGAATAAAGAAGAAAAAGAGGAGGAATAAAGCGGAAGAAGAGGAGGAGGAGGAATGAAGGAGAGTAGGAGGAGGAAATGAAGAGTAGGAAGAAGGATTAGAGGAGGAGGTGGAGGAAAAAGAAGAACAAGAATGAGAGAAAGAATGAGAAGGGGAGGAGGACAGAACATGTATTAATTTAAAGAGAGAACACACACACACACACACACACACACACACACACACACACACACACACACACACACACACACACACACACACACACACACACACACACACACACACACACACACACACACACACACACTCATTTTATCGTTTAACTTGCTTGTTCCTTAATCGTCTACTTTGTTATTCCCCCTAATTCTTCACTTCCCCACTTCCAATCTTCCCTGTAAGGTCTTCCCTGCCACACGCCACACCGCGCCACACCACGCTCATGTAAAGTCGTCCCTGCCACACGCCACACCGCACCACGCCACATCGCACCACGCTCATGTAAGGTCTTTCCTGCCACGCGCCACACCGCACCACGCCACACCGCACCGCGCCACACCACGCTCATGTAAAGTCGTCCCTGCCACACGCCACACCCACACCACCCAACCCCCCGCCACACCGCACCACGCCACACCACGCTCATGTAAGGTCTTTCCGCCACGCGCCACACCGCACCACGCCACACCGCACCGCACCACGCCACATCACGCCTCGTAAGGTCTTCTGCACTATCAATATGCTAATTACGTCGATCGAGCTCTGATTTCAATTATTCGGCGAATATTTTTGTACCTTTTTTCCCCGAGTTTAATTGGCACTTATTTAAAAAAAATCAATGAATATTTTTATTAGCGTTCATAAACGAGTTGATTATATTTATTTTTCATCGTTTCGCTTCTTCATTTTTTCCATTCATCCATTCATCCATATGATTTTTAAACAATAGTTCATACAACGGCTTTAGAGAGTAATACCCCTGTAGCACCCTGGCTCTATCACCTACTGTATGGTCTTTATATAAATAATAATATATTAGGATTAATAATAATAATAATAATAATAATAATAATAATAATAATAATAATAATAATAATAATAATAATAATAATAATAATAACATTGCCTCAGTTATTGAATTTCTCCCAGAAAATAATTAACTAATAAAGAAACAAAACATCTGAGAACCACAAGTAAGTTAAAATACAATACCTAAGACAGGACAGACAGACAGACAGACAGACAGACAGACTGGCAGATCAATAAACCAGTCAGCTATAGAAAACCTGGAATCAAGACATAATCTAATATACTGTTAGCATTGTGCGTAGAAAATAATACTGTGAGGTTTCTCTTTTTACAATAACAGTTTTAAATGTATATTCCTCTCGTGAATTTGCTCAGGTTCTTTTATAAAATGTGTATTTCATTTTCCGATTGTAATCCTCAGTGGAGTACTATACAAGTAGCTTATACGCTTTATTACGGGTTACAGAGATAGTGTGTGTGTGTGTGTGTGTGTGTGTGTGTGTGTGTTACTACTACACATTATAACTACATATGTGTAAAGTAACGTGTATATATGCAGCTCGCCATATATATAAAGGCATATCAACATAAGTATTGTGTTAAACTCGTTTGTTCATCTCACCATCACAGAAGAAACAAACAACACACACCCTCATGATATTGTTACCTCCTGCCTGACCTAAACTACTACTGGCACTCTCTGGCACTGTCCTTAACACTGTCAGGTATACTTCCTTCCTTAGTTTTTGCAGTGATGTTCCTTGTTAAGTCCTTGTTACTGTCTTCGGCACTGCCGACTACACTTGTCCACTGCCCTGTCAATAACTCTCCCTGATACTAAGACACCCCTCCACTGCACTACCAATATGAATCTCCTTGGCACTTCCTACAACAGTGTACGTGGCACTTACCGTACGGTCCATGGTACTCTCCTTAGTTCCGTCAGTGGCACTTCCTCTGGAAAACAAAAACAAAATAAAGTTAACTCGTAAGAATATATT